TCATCATCATCATCATCATCCATCTTCGTCGTCGTGGTTGTGGTCGTGCTTGTGTTCGGGATCTTCATTCTCGTCGTCGCCGCTGCTGAACACCAACTGATAGGAAGGAGCACCCAAACCAACAGTCTAGAGGTGCCGTCCCCGTCGAGCTGATCGTCAAGGCCGGGGTCGCTTACTGGAGTACGCCGGAGGTCACAGGAGTAAACTAACTTCATGACGTGTGTGGGTGTGTTGTGTCCAAAAGGCTCACAGCAGCATCGACGTTCCGGAGTACCCGGCTCAGCCCGTGCTCACCAAACAGGGATTGACCGGTTCCGGGGTGCAGCCGAGCCAAAGATACAGTTACAAGCTACAAGTTGCATGGGCCTCGCAGAGTAAAGGAAATCCCTCGAAGCCCCAAGCCCGGCCCAAGCCCGAGTCTACTGAGGCTGAGACGGCGCTTGGCACTGGCCCGGCGCTTTTGTTCTGGGTTTGTTTGGTGCCTCTCCAGCTCGGGGGAAGCTTTTCTGTCCGCCTGAGGCTGCTCCGGTCGGGGCTTCGCTTCTGGAGTTCATGGGCCACTTCGAGGTGAAGGGAACCACCGAGGAAGCATTCTCGGCACAGCACTTTGCCCGCGCCCTTCCGGAGGTGAAGCACGGCTTCGGCAGGTCCCATTTGCTGAGCCCTCAATTCGAACAGAGACCTGCAGAACCTTTGCGCCTTGTGAGACCGAGGCACAGTGCCAGCGACTTCGTGCGGGGCCCAGCCAAGGGTGCCTGTGTGGCGGGGCGGGTGCCTGGGGCCTTGTACAGTAGCAGACCTGTCTCTGTGTGTGTGTGTGTGTGCGCTCGCGCCCGTTTGGCAGCAGCCTTTCGAGGTTAATTTGTGGATCCACTGCAGCGGCCACGAGCACCTGGACGTTTCTCCGCAGGATCCAGTGCAGTCGTCAGTCGACCTTGGTGCTCAGAGTTCGATCCATGGCCTACCTCCAGGATGTGGCGAACTTCTTTCGGATCTTTGGCACCGTCCTTAGTAGAGACACTTGCCAGAGCAGTCGCTCCTGTCTGGTTCCAGGTGGATCGTCACATGTGGCTTTGATGCCGGAGGCCCTCGATGAGGCTGGGACCAGCAAGCGTCAACAGTTCGCTCTCCAAACGCATTGAATCTTGATGATTATTGTTATTATTCTTACTATTTCATGGTGCTATTATTATTACTATGATTGAATCGAGTTGGAGACGGCACCTTCAAGGGAACCGTAAGCCGTAAAGAGAACTGCAGGAGATCAAAGCCCTGAAGCCCTTCGCTCCAGCCTTGGAGGCGCTGAGACGCCTGCCGCTGGAGGCGCACACCTACGTGTATCCGCCGCCCTCCCCTGATCAAAGGATTCCCTGAAGAACTCCTCACCTCCCTTGCAGGATTCTAGATTCTAGCTACTTTGCAGGCTCCATCCCACAGTCCCGAGCAAGCCCCCCTGACACTAAACCCCACACCTTAAGCCCTCAACTTCTCCAATTTCCAAGCCCGCAGAGTTCGGAGGCTCACTGGGGAGCGGAGCCTTTAGCCGTCGATCGGCTTTTCTGTGCCTTGGGCAGCCGATGCTTACAGCCTGGGGCCCCGGTGATTCTCGCGCCTCTTCTACTTGTAGCACCCGTTTTTTGTACCCTGAAAAAGCAGCCCGTATAGTAGCCTCAAGTATCGTACAAGAGGCCTTGGAGAGGTTTCTTGGGGTGGGAGGCACTTGATTCTCTTTCACCCCTAAGCCCTCCCAGGCTTGAGCGGGCCAAACGCAAGGACGCCACCCTCCCAGTGGAGGCCGTCCTGGAAGTGGCGAGCTCAGTTCCAGAAGCCCACGGGGCTTTGTGTTCGCTTCATGAAAGGCAAGCATGGCATAGCAAGCAATAGTATAAAATAATCGACTGTCGTATATAGTATAGTACAGTATGTTGCGCAATGTGGTGGTTCTAACGCCGCAAGACTTGGGCTTTCGAGGCTTGGTATTCCTTCTGAGGTTGCCGACGCATGCAAAATAGGTATGGCGGTCTTCCTATGCCTAGAGGAGCACGCGATAGGAGGGACCGTAGTGACTATGAGCAGCAGCCACTCGTCGTAGTCATACGCTTGATTCAGCGATAAACTCTATGCTTGCTCTCACAGCATACGGCTACGGGCACACGCTTTGCAGGGACATCGTCGGCATGTGTAACAGCGGTTGCAACGACCAATACGGGTAGGCAATGTACAAAGGCATGAACAGCACGAGTCACGGTCTCAAAACGGACAATAATGCACCCCATAGTTCCAGGCTAGCAGGTCGTCACTTCGCGATCATGACCAAACAGAGCTTTCGGGAGGTAGGCTAGTCCAAGCCACTGTCATCACATGCTGGATGCTCAGATCGTTCGCAAAGACGCCTCCGATGTGGAGAAGGCCCCGGGGAAGGTTCAGATTACACGGCCCCGACCTTGCCCAATCTGGTACATTTTGCAACAGCCAGGCCGAATCCAGCTTAATATCGGAGGACGTCCTGGCACAGCGTCCGGGCCTAAGCCGCGGATGTTCTGCAGCGGGCTTCAGGCTTGCCCAATCTCTTGCCAGGCTTCGATAAGCTCTGGAACAACTGCGTGGGTGCGCCGCAGACTGCTCTTGTGTTGGACGGTGCCCTGGATGCTGAAAATTTCTGGAGGCGAGAGCCTCATGCTGGCACTACCTCCGGACGGTCCCTCTGCTCGGAGTCGCAAGCGTCTGCAGATGCGTTGATGCAGACGTGGTAGAGCCAAGGTGATCCTGCTCCAGGCCACGAGAAGGCAGGGAGCCTCGCCTACCTGTTGCTTGTAGACCCTCCCGCTTCAACGAGAGGAGAAAGCTGAACGAGCAGAGCGTCGCAAAGAGCAGGACGTTGTTGAAAGGTCTGTTATCACGTCCAGTCGTCTTTTTCGTGCGATGCAGATCCATGGCTGAGTCTTGAGCAGTTTCGGGCAGGAGATTCTCGCCACCCAGCGCATGAAGCAGGCCAGCACGTTGCTGTCTTGTTGTCTTGAAGTTCTGGTGATGAGGACGATTAGTGTCTCCGCTGGCCGCATATCATTTCTCCTTGCACGGGCTGACTCTCTTGAGCTACTTCGCCTGACGCTTCTGCTGAACCCTTCATGCGCATTTCTGAGTGTTCAGATCCCTACTAGACGATCAGCGTGCCCAGCATTTTTTTTGCACCTATCTTCAGGGTGTAAGGCTCGGTCTGATTCTTCACAGAAAGCTCCAACCCCACAACCCGAAGCACCAAGCCGAAAGCCCCAAAGTCCGGAGTGGAGGCCTGCCTCGCGCGCTTCGTATCGATCGGGCAGGAGCTCTCGCGACAGGTGAGCTCCTCCGGTGCTTTCGAAACACGCTCTGGGACACGTCATGCTGTTGGTGTTGCTGGTGGTGTGATGATGAAGGAGATGATGATGAGAATGATGACAGCAAGCAGTCTGTCTGATCGTTTGTCGTGGTGGGCGTCGTCGATACCGTCGTTTTCGTCGTTATTCGCAGTCATCGTCCTGGCCCTTCTCCACTAAGTCCTCACCCTGGCGAGACTTGCGAACTACACAAAGCAGATCCCCGAAACCAACTGAAACTCTAACTCTAATGCCGCTTAATGCGCTGCAAGCCCCGGGTCCTTAAAGCATTCCAACCCTCAGAGCCTCAGAAAGCACAGATCCCTGAAAGCCTGACCCTCGCCTGATCCTTCAAACCGAAAGGCCCAGATACCTGAAGCCCTTGGATCTGTACAAGTCTTGCTTCAAAGGCCCCCAATCCCCAAAAAAACCCGAAGCCCTAAGAATCCAAAAGGTCCCTAAACCGCGAAAGCTGAAGATCCCCCAAGAAGTGCCTCAGAGCAGTGGAGATCCTGATGAGGCAGAGATCAGTAAAGTAACCCAAGGGGCTCAGATTGGGGTTTAGGGTTTAGGGTTTAGGGTCCTCTTTTTCTCCTGTGACGACTCGGTGCACTCGTTGCCGACCTCTGCACATGTGCGGCCGTTACTTCGTGAGAGCCGGTGTGTTGCGTCCGCCTGCAAGCCGCAAGCTGCTTCGTCGCCGGTCACCCTGCACCTAGCGGTCAGCTGCCTTTTGCTACTCGTTGCCATGATCATCGGGGGAGTTCTCATCCTTCTAGTCACGATCGCTGAAGGAGGTAAAGGCAGAGCGCACTGGCGGTTTGAGGTGACCCGACGGCAGTACGAATCCATCTTCCCGAACATCAGTGACGTCCTGGCAGTGAGCTGGAAGCCCAGAGTTGCCGCTCGAGCGTAGCCGTAGCGAAGGGTGCTCGGTACTGTAGGCTTCCAATCTGAAACTTAGGAATTTAGGAACTTCAAACCCCGTGCCGGTTGCCTTTCATCCGTCCCAGTTCGTTCTGACTTACAGTCTAGGCCTTGTGTATTTCAAGAACAACCACTGCTTAAACGGGTACCTCATGCTGAACCTCATACGGTCTTCATGCAAAGCAGCGCCGGTTGCGATTGCGGCAAAACCTTGCATCCAACGCGGCTGAGGCTTGACGACACTCCGGTCGGGACAGGCCTTGATCTTAGCACTCCGAACTTGTTAAAGGCCAAGTGGAGATTGAGGCAACGGTCTTGTCAATGGGCTTCCATCATTCTCTTGGCTTGTTCTGTCTGATGTCGCTCTTCAGTTTTTGTGCTGCCTGAATGGATTTCTGTGCTTCGGCTGCAGGTGGTGATCGTGCGCTACAGGCTAGCAGGAGTAGCGGTCTCGGCCGTTTCAAGAGAGCGGGCAGGAAGGATGCGATGTCCTCTTCCGGTGTGGGAGCCTTTGTTTGCCGGTTTCATTTCTCTTTAACGAAATCTGTATGTACGAGTATGAGCCCCTCGATTCTCCAGATTCTTCCGGATCAGGTTCCATTTAGCGTCAATGCCGAAAGCCTCGAGGCTTGCAATTTCTGGCACCCGAAGCACCGCGTGCTCCGAGACGAGAGGGAACCGCTCCCTTGGCCTGTGCCACAGAAGGCGGGCGATTTCGTCCGGTTTCACGTGGCAGTCTAGCAAAAGTTTGACTGTTCGTTTCCTGGATTCCTTTTGGTTTTGGGACGAGGGTTTTTGTAAAAACCCTCTTCGCTTGATTCATGTCGGTTTGGGGTTGTCCGGGTTTGGCTGCGATGCTTCGGCGTTGCCCTGCATGTCATCGGCTCGCAGCTTCGTTGATCGAAAGGCGCAGTGTGAGACCTTTACTGCAAGATTCAGATGTTGCGAAAAACATGCGCTGAAACGAATTCAGACATGCTCATGTCATCGCAATTTTTGTGTTTATCTGACGGAGGTTCGTCGTGATGATGACCGAAGTCATTCTTGCCAGTCGTCATTGCTACTGCTCATTTACGAGACTAGACAAGCCGTAGCTGACAGTACAGCTTTTGGATCGGCCAAAGTAGACCGGTTGGGATCATGGGTTGCCAGGACCTCAGCCACGGAAACACGTGCGCTGCACAAAGCCTGAGTTTGACTGCATTCGAGCTGAGGTAACACCATTTGTGGTTATGACTGCGATGCTGCTTCGTTGCATTGCATGGTTACGTCAATGGAGACGAGACGGCGCAGTACATGTACATTAGCAAGACATGTGAGCCGAGGATGTTTTTGTTTATGATGCTCAGAAGACCATCAGAATTCGCGATGCGCGGTTGGGGCTTCTGCAGTATGATTCTCGGCTGGGTTCAATTTCTTTTTTGCATCGGGATCGCTTGTTGTCGACCCACAACTCAGGGCATGATGTTTATCATCGCCGCTCAATCGCATTTGGATTGTAGGTGCGCGATTTGCAAACAAGAGGGGTGTCGCGACTGCGACCAGACCGTGTACATCGTGGTCTGGCAGCTTGTGCGCGGCAACAGCTACTTGAAGTACAGGCAGGTTGGCTCTGCATAAGGCTCTTGCGAGCATGTAACCGTGTGGAATGTACTAGAGACACCTGCATCATGTACGGCACCAACATGAACATCGCAAGGCGCTCGCTGACAATCCTGCAGAAAACGGTGATCAGTAGCAACAACTGATAAGCCCAAAGTTGGAAACACTACTACTAGAAGCAAAATAGTTGTCAACGTCCTCGGCATCGTCGTCGTCCTCGTCGTCGTCGTCGTCGTCGTGATCGTCGTCGTTGTTGTTGTCGTTGTCGTTGCCGTTGTCGTTGTCGTCGTTGTCGTCGTTGTTGTCGTTGGTGGTGGCTGTTGCGACCAACTGGAGCACGCAACGCCGCAACGTAAGCATGCGCAGGTCTCCAGTCGTTACGACACGGATGACACTGCAACAGCCAACTTTCGGGAGTTGTAACCCCAACGACGCGTCGTGCCAGGGGCCTAGTTTTCAGCTGTTTTGGAGATATCGTCGTGGTCTTGTGCTAATGCAGCTGGTGATGCGGAAATGATAGATTTTGACGTGCGAGGTCGGGACGACTTCCGCAAAGTGTCGGACTTGTCTTACTGCTGCACAGACGGCTGCCAATACAAGGCAGGGACTGGCACGTGTCACAGTGCCGGGCGTTTGCAATGACCGGCAAATTGTGAGGCAGACAACTCCTCATGCAGCTGCCCGTGGCGCAACTTTACCAACTACCGGTGCCTGCGCGCCATGTGTTAGGATTTTGGGTCTACAACCAATCTCTCGAATCAAGGGGCTGTATGCATCCAAGGTGCCAGCATCGCGGCTGCAGCGGCATTGTGGTGTTGCATGTGTCTTCAATCCTAGAGAAACTAGCGGATGGATCCCTGTTTCGCTGTTCATGTTGCTTGCCCGTTTCATTTCCATCGATTGCAGCCATGGGGTCGTGGCAACTCGGATGTTTTCGAGTCAAAACAGGGCGACCGCTGAGGTATGTTGATGGAGTCGGCGGCACCCAGACTTATCCTGACAATATTGTGCCTTGACGTGGATGTCCAGGAAAGCAGCCTTTCTAGGGTCATTGCTGCTCCAATGTTGTCCCATAGCTTTCAAAGGTCATCAACACTTTCAGGCACGAGTACATCCAGGAGCCCTCAATTCTTAGCGGCTTTGCAGCTTTGTGGCTGCAAGCGCCGGTCTTGCAACTGTAGGAGCAGTAGGAGACTTTGCGGCACCTTTTCGGCCTCACATCGGCGCCTCATGAAGGAGCGCAATGCGTCCTGCGGTCAAGATGGCTGCAGCAAGCTTTGGATCACCAGTGGCATAGAGAGTAGGCGGGGGACTTGGCTTTCTGTCCAGAGGATCTGTGGACCACGTCCCCGAAGAGACATGTCAAGTCTTGACTTCCCCTAGCCTAGCCTAGCTCGCATATGCAAGGCGTCAGAAAACTGCTTTTTTGCCAGCTTGCAGGTTCATGGCAGACATCGAGGCTCGGGGCAGCGTCGGCAGGTGCTTCTACCAGCAGTAAAGACAAGGCCATGATCTTGGCAGTGTTTCGTCGTCGCGCTCAGCTTCGGCATATAGTTGCGGTAACAGAAGTAGTGGTCCAGTGGTGGTGGCGCTGGTGGTGGCGGTTGTGGTGGTAGCAGGTCGTCGTTGTGCTGGTACGAGGGTTTATGGTGGGCGTCGTGGTCGACGTTTTGGTCGTTGCCGCATTCGACCGGGTCGTCGCCACTGCCGCGGTCCTCGCGGTCGCTATCTTCGTCGTTGTCGGTTGATCTCGTGGTCATGGTCGTCCTCGTTGTGGTCCCCGTTCCTCGTCGGTTTTGGAGGTGGCTGCTTTTGTGGTGATCGTCGTAAACTGTGTGCCTTGAGCACGAGCAGCAGTGCGACGATGAAGGGAGGAGCAGGAGAGATGAGGTCGAGTCGTGGAGCAGGAAAGGTGGGAGGTGGAGGAGGACGCCAGGGGAGGGTTTGTCGGATGCTTGCGGCTCTCCTGGGAGGATTTTACGGTCCTGGTGGCTCATGCCCTTCAGAGCGAGGACCGGGCAGACCATGACTTCCGAGAGATGCTTCCCGGCTGTCCTGGGCTCTCCATCGCAGGAGCTTGAAATCAAAAAGACCAGCCGTGCGGGCACCAAGCTGATGGCATCCCATCCTGCAGTCGACGCCAAAGCACACCGGATGTCTATCGTGCAGGCGAGATGCCGGGCTGGCTCCTGGTGAACGGGAGCAGTGAGCTCCAGCAACCTCCTTGGCATGAACATCAGCGGATATCAGCAGTTTTCTGTTTCCTCGCTTGAAACTTGAAACCACGATGGGCTTCAGGCACCAGCTATGTCGCAGCACGAACACGTCCATGACGGAGCCCATCTACGGCTCCCGGACGGACAAGGCGCCGAGCATCAAAAGCCTCGCTGAGCCTGGTGAAGGCACTTGACTGGCGACCGAGGCCCCTTGCTACATCAAGCCGAACAACACGGCAAAGGCGCCGCAAGGGTTCATGGCTGAAGCCAAAAAACCTCAAGGCAACCGGCTCTGTCGTGCAATCATACGATTTGGAAACTTGCACCGGTACAAATAGCAGGGTTTCCCTAGATCTGTACATGTGATTGCACCGCATGTCTCGTGGCTGTCGAAGCAGGACGGGCTGGACTTCTTCAATGTGCGCACCTTGATGATGGCCACTGGGCACTGTTCTTGAGTCAAGATGGGGGTTTTCCGAAAATAAGGGATACCTCATTTTGGGGGCCTTCTATTAAGGATCCTACTATTTAGGGTAATATATTAGGGTTCCCTATTTTCGGAAGCCCCCAGATGCCCGTTCCCTTTTCGTCTTTATCGTGATGAAAGGCCTCAAGTCCGATTCAGACACGTGCGTGTATGCCCTGGCCCCACGCAAGAAAGAATAGAAGCACCGATAAATCTTATAAAGCAACACCGACCCCTTTTCGACCTCCTTCGCAAACCCTTATATGTAACCTCAAAGGCCATGGGCCTATCCCTGGATGGTGAGAGCTACTCCGGGAGCGGCCACTCTCTCCGCTACGAGGCCGCCTGGAGGGGAGGTGATGAGTTTTTGGGGCTTTGGGCCTTCTGGTATGGTCTGAAGTGGGTCGAACAGATATTTTTTTGCGTCCCCTTGAACTGCCTTTTGGTTTCGGTTTCGTCTCCTCAGCTTCACGTCTTTCTCTCGGGTCTGAGTTTCTTCCCGTCTAGGGCCGTCTGCACAGATGTCAGGGTTAGATATTGCCCTCCGCTGTGCAGTGCGCTTTCAAAAACTGCCAAGGCCCTCCATTTGAGTCTCAGTTTTCAGCCAGGGCCTGACCGTCACCCTGAAGATCAAGTACTTCGACACCTGGCCTTGGCACGGGGTCTTGCTGAGCCCTGGCCGCAGATCACAGCACAAAAAAACGCCTCCTGCGTGCCAAAACCACCTGCACAACAACGAGCGATCATCTCCCCCCTCGAAGTCTACTTAGGAGATCTTAGGCAGTCTAGATGAAAATCAAAATCCGATTGCGCTTGGTCCCATCAGGTTATAGTGTCATGAAGCGAGGAGCGTTGAAACGGCGAAGAAGAAGAGGAGAAGGATGATGATGGGATGGTGTTGATGATGGCCAGCGCTGTGCACATTGGTCCTAGCAGCGACCGCTGAAACCGGCGAATGGGAACCGGATCTGTGTGTTTTTCGTTCAAGGACAAGCGTCACTGAGGAGCGAAGAAGTTTCATTCACCTGTACACATGATTGGCAGAATCCTGACAGCCCCGCAGTCTGAAGCGATCGCTATGGTGCAGAGTGCAGCCGGGGTCACGAAGACCTGGCAGACTGGGCTTAAATGCTTCGAACTCCCGAGAACCTCTGGCAATTGCGTACAGCCCCGCCCACCTCAACGACCCGAAGATCTTTCGCAGCTCTTTTTTTCAGGGATGCCGACCGGAAGCCGCTGGTCTCCTACGTGTCGCCGCCTCAGCGGAGGGTTCTCTAAGGGTTTCAACTCAGGGTTCTGTCATGGAAACTTAGGGTTTCGGCCTTCGGGTTTAGGGTTGCTACCAGTAGGATGTTGTAGAAATTCAAGTTTTTGTTTTACGCCCTGTGTAGGCTCCTATGGCTACAATGTTTTCAGGTTGC